GTTTTTCAACGACTGCATTAACCCACTCCATGTTTGCAAAATTCTTCTATTTTTCTTTTTTCTTTAAATTACATACAATCAAATAGAATAAAGCACACTAGTTAATACTTGTGTAGCGACTACCTCATTTAGCAACCATTTGCAGTTACAATGGAAATAAAAAAGTAACCTTATGACCAATCCTCACATTTATTACCTTTGTAGGTCTGTAAAGCAAAGGAAAGCTGAAGTAAGATCATAAGCAAAGTCACGGTTTCACTTTATTCTTTGCTTGTGGTTTGGAAAGAATAATAGTGCATCTGCTTTCACAAAAAGCTAATTGAAAGCCCTAAAGCTCTTTGATCGCACCTTGAATCATGTTCCTTAGATGCTGGAGATTTTCCAGGACTGACTTCACAAATCTTGATCAGGACAAATCATTTAAAAAAAAAGTTGCTACAAAAAAGGATGAAACTTTCAGCATTTTATTTCTTTGGCATGAAGAAGTATATTCTGTGGGAGGATTGGGCTGCAGACTGAGTTCCAAGCGACACATACTAAGAATTAAATTGTCTGTTCAGTTTTTGTTATTTAAGCTAAGGGAAAGAGAGTGACAACATTGACAGCTAAAGTTCTTATTAACTGACAGAGCAAATACAATGCAGGCAATTAAAAACTTCAGCCATGCTGTTCACTATTTTCATTGTCCTTGAGGGAAAACTCTGGAGAGTCTGGCCTTTACTTCTATTTGTGCCATTTATTTTGGTGGAATGTAGATTAAAAATATAGTACAAGTTAAAATTATAATAACTTGTCTAGTTCATTTTATGACTGTGGATAGTCAATAAATTGACTTAGGATACAAAATTTCAACAACAATAACAAAAGTACAGGAAAAAATATTCTTAGTCCACTCTAAGTTTTGAATGCTTAAGTAAAAATGTAAAAAATCCAGTTTGCCATTTACCTCCTAAATTATTATATTATCTAATCCAGTTTGAATTCCAAAAGAGGAGAATATATGTAGCTCAGGGTTCAACTGTTTCATTACCCAACTAGGTACCATCAGTGCTACTGAGTGTGGCATTTGCTCTGTGTTTATATACAGTAGCTTGCCCTGTCAGTGTTGGTGGGGTGTGGTTTTCTCCTTGGTAGTTCCTTGATTGGGGTATTGTTTTCTGCTTGATTGTTTGTCTAGTGTTAATCCCTGCTTATCTGGGTGTTGGCTGCTTAGAGATGATGTGTTCTCGTTGTTGGTGGGGTGTGGTTTTCTCCTTGGTAGTTCCTTGATTGGGGTATTGTTTTCTGCTTGATTGTTTGTCTAGTGTTAATCCCTGCTTATCTGGGTGTTGGCTGCTTAGAGATGATGTGTTCTCGTCTTCTTGTTTCCTTCTTAGCTTTTTCATTGTCTCTTTTGAGTGGTGTGTAAATGTTATCTCTATGTGTCTATTGATGGCTGATTTGGCTGAATGCCAAGTTTTCAGGAATTCCCTAGCATTTTGGGATCTGGCTTGTTAACAGTTTCCCAGTTAAAACTGTGGTTGAGTCTATCCATGTGTTGTGAGATTAACAGGCTTTCATTGTGTCTTCTGACTGCTAGTTGGTGTTCATGGATTTGCTCTGCTAGTCTTCTGCCTGCCTGTCTCAAATAGTGGCTGTTCAGTCCTTACACTGTATGCTGTAGATGACTCCTGTTTTTTCTTCTTGGGCTACTGGGTCTTTTGGTTTGCTTAAGTTTAAATTGCTTATCGCTTCACCCTATGAATATTGCCACCAAATTATAAATTTTCTCTTTTCATTACTGTGTTTTTCTAAATTCCCTATTCTTCAGGCTTTTGATGGGAATAGTTCTAGGTAGGACTGGCTTTCAGTTTACAAGCATACAAAATCAACAAACTATAATAAAACAAAAATCAATAAAAAGGTAAGATAGTGCTGCGTAATCCTTCATAACCACTGGCTTCAAATACCCTGAAGAAGACCTTGCAAGGCATTCCGTAGGATAAGGACTTGCCAAAGGATGCCAAAGGATGCCAAACCTCTAGGGAGAGGCTGTTCCATGAGGTGAGGACCACCACAAGAAAGTATTTCCCTCAGGTTCCCACACTCCTCCCCTCATGGCTTGGGATACCTAAGCTTCTCCATCTGGCCCTAGCATACTTAATAGAGAGATTCTACCTGGAGAAGGCAGTCTTGAAAGTATCCAGGAACCAATCCATGTAGGGCTGTAATGGTTAAAACCAGCACTTTGAATTGCACTCAGAACCAATTGGAAGCCAGTGCGGTGTGGAACAATGGTGTCATATAGCTTCAACGGCTCTCACTCATCAGCATATAGCTGCTGCATTCTGAACCAATTTAACTTCCAGGTGATCTTCAAAAGTACAGTAGCTACATGTAAAGCACCCTGCAGTCGTCTATATGGTTATTGATAAGGGTGTGAGTCGCTGTCAATAGGGCCTCCTTCACCAGGTAGGCTGCAATTGACGTTCCAGGCAAAACTGTCCAAATCTCTCCTGGCCACAGCCTCCACCTACACATCCAGCAGTAACTGTGAGTCCAGATTTCTCAAGCTGCAGACCTGCTCTTTTAGAGGGAGTGCCATTCCATCCAGAGTTAGAACTGTAATGAACCAGGTGGTTTCTGAACAAATAAGAACTCTGTCAGGCTGGGATTCAAACTCAGCCTGCTTTGTCCCATCCAGCCTTCATAACCTCTGGACCGCAGATTAAACCTTCCATAACTTTCCTGGCTTGGCCCAGGATGGCAATATATTTCTCAAACTGACAAATGATCTCTCCCAACAGTTCCATGTAGATAATAAACAGCAGAGGAGAGGGACCTAACCTTGGAACTCTATAGGAGAGTACCCACTAGACCAACCTCTCATCCCACTAATCACCAGTTGCCTACTTCAGACAGAGTAGAGCAATATCCCCATTCCTCACAGGCAATCAAAAAGGTTACTTTGGACAATGGTAAAAAAGGCCACCGAGAGATCCAAAAGGGAGGAATTTCCCCCGTCTGCAAGGGAGGTACTATCCCACATCTAGATCCCAGAAAAGGCAATCAATCAATGCCATTTACCTCCCATACCTATGCCTGAATCTTGATTGAAAGGAGTTCAGATAATCTACTGCCTCAAGAACCCTCTGTGACTGAAGCAATAGTATGTACACACATTTTCCTTATAGCTAGCCCACTCAATGCCATATTTTCTTATGCTGTTCTGCAGTTAATACAGTACACTAGATGCACTATTTGAATACATGTGCTGGATAGAGAACAACAATCAGATAGATTTAAAGCCTGTTCATCTATTTTATAGCATCTAATTCTCATATTGAAGCATAAAGTTCACTATTATTGGACAGGAAGGGAGGAATAAAGATTGCATACAACCCTGTCCCATTCTTTTGTATTTGGACTATTTTTTCATACATGCTTATTAAATACTGCCCACTCCTGGATTTAACCATATTTTCATTTAAAATATAAAATATTAAGGTACAACTGGCAGTATTGCTGATGAAAATGTATTTTAATTATAGTGGTTGAAATTAAGAAATGACATTTTATGAGAGAGTTAAACTACAGGAAAAAAAAAAAAACCTCGAACCTCAAAGGTGATTTGATGTTCTACCTGGGTTAGATTTTTTTTTTCTAGCAAAGCAAAATATTTCATTGCCATAGCAGAATATTTAACTCAAAGAAGCAAAGCCATCGTTGCCAAGTCTTAAGTGTGTGTTGCCACCATGAGAAAGTGCTTCCTTACTTATACAGATTCCTCCCAAGCAGCTTCTTTGACTGGGCTTCATCTCTCAGAAGGGAACTGGTGCCCTACCTGGTCATCATTATGTCACTGAGGGAAAGAGGGAACTACAACTTAGAACAGACAAGGAATGGGTAAGAGAGAACTTAGCTAATTTAAATGAATTCAAGTCTTCAGATGGATTAGGCACAAAGGTACTGAAAGAACTAGTGGGGGTAAACTCAGATCCACTCTGTGTGGAGGACTGGAGAGGTCCCAGAGACTGCAGGAGAACAAATGACATTCCCATCTTTTAAAAAATGAAGGAGGAGGAAGGGAGGAATAAAGAGACCTGTCAGCTAGACATGTTATCAAACAATATGTTTGTGAGCACTTGGATAGTCATTCTACAATTAACAGAAGCCAGCATGGGTTTGCCACAAATAAATTGTCCCAACTAACCTTATCTCCTTTTGTGATAGAGATACTAACTTAATAGATCAGGGAAATGTCATAGACATAGTATACCTGGACCTAAGCAAAGCCTTTGACATTGATATTGTGCTTAATAAAAAGGTAAAATATGGGCTAGGTGATAATATTGTTAGAAGGACAGTTGGTGGAATGACTAAACCCAAAGTGTGTTTCAGTTTAGCTAGACAGAGTGCCACAAGGCTCTATCCTTGGACCATTGATGTTCAACATTTTTATTCAAGATTTGGATGAAGGTGATTAGGGGAGAGTTCTAGGAAGCCTGAGCAGTGGATTGAAATGAATAGGATGGAATTTAACAGGAAGAAATGTAATATTCTGCATCTGAGTAGGAAAAAAGTAAGACATAAGACATCAGATGGGCAATAATATATGTGGAAAGGATATCTAGGTATCCTTGTTGAATACAAATTAAATGTAAGCCAGCAGTGTAATGCAGCTGTTAAAAAGGCAAATACTATCTTGAGGTGCATTATCAGGAGTATAGAATCCATATCAAAGGAAGATATCATTCCACTCTGCTCTTGTCAGACCCCATTTGGAGCACTATGTTCTGTTCTGGGCACCACAGTTCAAAAAGAACACTGACAAACTGGAGTGAGTTCAAAAGAGGCCTACCAAGAGGATGAGTTTGGAACCCAAATCATATAAACCTACCTATGGAAGAGATGATTGAGGGGCAATCCCCAAAGAAGAGGGAAGAGACCGATTTCCTATTGCCCCAGAGGGCAAAACCACAGAAATGGGTTAAAACAACAAGGAAGTAGGTTCAGACTTGATGTCAGGAGGAACCTCTGGACTTATGAGCTGTCAGTCATTGGAACAGGGTGCCACATCACATGCAATGGTGATTTCTCTTGTATTGGAGGACTTCAAACAGTGGTTGAATGGTAATCTGTCAGAGAACGTGTAGGTGAATCCTGCACTGAGCAGGGAGCTGGACTAGGTGACCTCTAAGGTATTTTCCAACTCTATAATTAGCACAACTAGAAGGATCACTAAGCCTTTCTTGTGGGTGTGGTAGGTTATTACACAAAGGCAATTATTTATTTTGTTCAGAAATGTGTTAAGAAGTACAAAACATATAGATACACAGACACAACTATCAGAATTCAATCAATTTAACATCTACTCTGCAAAATGTATAAAACTGATCTAACATTTCATAATCATGGTTAAGATATTTCAAGTTTGTTCAGTTCCTTGTTTCCTCCTTTCACTGACATGTAATCTAAAACATTCTAGATCTAATATTAATATTTAACTTTTGATCAATTAATAAAATTTTAAACTGTGTATGTTTAATCAGTTCTTAACTATACAGTAAGTCCTTTTGTGTCTCTGTCTTAATACAATAAACAAATATTTGTTAAATAGACATCATTCTTTCTCCCTAAAGTTTGTGCTTCTGTTGAAATAAATTTCTGCATATTGGCTGTATATTATATTTTGTACCAGGAAAAATATAAAAGTATTATGTATAGAAAATGTTACAGGCCTGGGCCAAACTGTACAACTTCTTGTGATGTTCCTATTTTGAGAACTTCTAATTCAAATTCAAAATCCAAATTTTAAATGCTTTAATGTTTTAATTCTAATTTTAAAAAGACAGAGTTGCTTACAGTGAAACTTTTTCTTTGAAAGATCACTGATCTCTTTTGAAATACCAGACAGAGAAAATCGATTTGAATCATAACTGAAAGCATGAAGAACTGATTCAGGACTTATCAGAATTCAGCACCTGAATTTGATTCAAACCTGCCCTCATCTCAACACCATTTTAAACTGTGGCCTGTGAAAAGCAAAGGAAATATTTTGTTCGCTAGTCTATCCTTATTCTTGTTGTTGCAGTCTTCCCTTAAGAAAACTTCTTGTTGTGAATTTGTATTCAGTAGACATTCCAGCTAATGGATTTTAAAAACAAGCACTTTATGCATGTGTTGACAAAGACAACAGACATTCAGCTATCAAAATATCTGAGAGGGAGAGACTGGCTGAGAACACAAGCAATATGTAAGAGAGGTTTATACTGTAAAGTTAGAAGAAAGAGATTAGGTAGAACCAGAATCTGGCGAGAGTTGCGGGGAGAGGAGGCAGTGAAGCAGCAGCTTATACTATCAGCACCAAGGACAGATACTGAGCAGCTTGGTTTATGGTGGCTTAGAGAGATCTTCTCAAAGCTGCCTGGACATTTGGGGGTATAAAATCAGATCCAAAGAGCACCCCCAACTGTAAATACCTATTTACAAAATTGTGAAATAGCTTGGAGATAATATGGGTGATGCCTGCATTCTTTCGCAGTTGCTGTGCCTGGGAGGAAGGGTAAAGTTTCACATCCCTGTGACCTGTGGGTCCATGAATCTACCATATTCTCTGCATTCTTCCACAGCTTAATCAGACCAAGAAGGGTAAGTCATGGTTTTCCTGTTTTTCATTTTAATGCTAAGTTTTTCTGTTTCAGCATGCTGCTTATAAACATTTTTAAATGTAAAGAAGCCTGGAAGAAAATAGGATAAAAAATGTGAAGCCTATAGTTTCTGTCTAGAGGGCAGAATTAAAAAAAGATATATTTTATGGATGCACACATAGAGAATATAGGAATAAGAATAGATTCTTTTTCCTCGATATTCTAGCTTTTCTTAATCAAGAAAATATTGGTTTTTTACAATACTTTCATCTTTCTGGAATATATTTTTTAAAAAAAAAATAGAGAAAGATGTATGTGTTTCACTTAAATAGTGGCGAAAAGGCACTGACAATGCTGAGATAGTTTTGTCCTGAATCTATACTTTTCAATGCAGCCATAAAAAGATTCTCTGCTTGAAAGAATCATATTAAAAAGTGAATTTTCGAAGCAGAAATTCCCATTTCCCATCTCAAAGAAGATCTAATCTTGGGAGAAGGAGGGGGGAAAGAGAAAGCCTTATATTTAGGCTTTTATTAAATTTAAATTAATCTGTTGTGCAAATCAATTTGGAGTTCACACACATAATCACATTATTTTCTCAAGAGATATCAGACATATATATGTGAAAATCTGCAGGCAAACGCATGCAAATATATATATCCTTCAAATGTGATATGAACTTCTAAGAACATTTACTTCTGAAAAATGGTTTTGAGTTACATATTCCCCCCCTCCTTTTTTTTTTTTTTTAAATAAATAGAGGGATAATGCAATGTTTCTGAAAAGGAATGGCTGATAGTGGAAAGAAGTGGGTGTGAGGATCTGGGGAAGAAATAAAGCATGCAGGAATGAAGCAAAAGGTGAAATGAGAATGAAAGAAAGATTATAGAAATTAAGAAAATGTAGAGAAAGATTGGGCCATTATGGACTAGAGAGCTTTTAACTGCAACTTTCAATTAAAGAGGGGAGCACTGCCTCCCTATTGTCAATTATTCAAGAAAAGGTTCTTAAAAATCATGTTGGTTTTTCATTGTATTTCAAACCAACAAATGTATATATAACTGGGAACATGATCACAGTCAATGTCATCCAGTAGTTATTCCTGGCCCAAAGACAGTTTCTTTGACGTCTTTCAGACAGACTGATATTCTGCTAATGGGAAAAGCTAAGAGTTAAAAAGCTGAAAGTTGCAAACAAAAACTGTAATTAGGAATTTGATTTGGAGTTCATATAGTATGATGAGGAAATTAATGTTGTCAATATAGTTATACTGTTTGCAGTTTTTTTGCAGACTGCAGTTTTGATAAGCCATTTTAGGTACTGTATAGTCATACACAAGTGCCAATTGAATCTTAACATTTATTTAATTACCAAATTGTGATTTCAGCAAACTGAAAGGATAACAGATTGTAGCAATTTCTAGAGATTGCTGGTGTATGTGAAATAGCTTTGCAGAAGAAATACCAGAAACAGGACCTTTATATCTTCTCCATCAAAACATGAGCAACATGTACTGACGTCCAGATGTTTAAAGATTTTTATGCAGTTCTGGAAGTTATCTCTTTTTTTGTTCGCATTTGGAGCATAATGCAATCTGGGTCCATTAACAATATTAAATGCAGCTATAGTTAGAAATAATCCCTGACTCCATGGAGCTCTTCAGGACAAAAAATTAGCTTACAGTTTTCTCATGTAAAAAAGAGTCAGAGACTTAACTTCAAAGCTACAATGATTGATGTCACAAAGGACTTTTTAGAGGAAAAGGCAAAAGGCTCAGTTTTGAGAGATGTTACTTAATCTCTTTAGCAATGTCCCCGTGATCAGCTTGGCATTCAAGCCTCAAATTTTCACCCTAGAGAATTGCATGTGCAATCATTTCTACCCCTAACCCATGCCCAGAAAAAAATCATATTAGATTTGGGTCATCAAATTATATAGATAACCTTCACATGCATAAGAGACTTCATATCCCAGATTTAATTTTTGGTATAGGAATAGCTAAACTTTGAAATTGGCTGAATATATCTATCCATCTATCTCTTTTTCCCTCTATTATTTTTCTAAACTATCTTTTCTCCAAAGAGGACCCAATTCTTCTTGTAATAATACATGCTATCATCACAAGTGGGAAATATTGTAGATGAGGCTGAGATACAGTGAGTGAGTCAGTATCATTCAATGAATCTCATAATTGCATGGCAGTTTGAAACTGGATATTTCCCAGATGATGATGACAATTTTGTCATCATCAACTTTTTGGAATGGGTTGATGATGATGACGACATTTAACCGTGGTAGAGTATGATAGAGTGTTATAATTTATTCTCTTTAACTTAGAAATTTTTAAATCTTAATATTTGATGATATGTGATACCTGTAGCTTCTAATTCCTTTTTTGTTTATTTAGTTTGTTATTGCTTTTTCTTCTTTTATATATTGTTTCCTTTTTTGCATGTTGTGGTTTTACATAAAACTTGTTAAAATAAATACATAGGATAGTGCATGGAATAATTAAATACTCCATATTAGTCACAGATCCTATCAATTCCATGAAATCTGATCCAAAATTTCAATGGAATTTTGTGCTAGGCAGGGCAATTCAATGTTCTGCCGAGCCCATCAGCCTGTACACTCAAAAAACAGGACTAAGATAGAGAAAGGGATGATGAGGAACATATTTAGATTAACTCTTGGCTATAGATACTCTTTTTCTGAATCATGGGAATGATGAGGAGACAGGAGATAAATGGTCCTTCTGATCAAATACTTCTCTTACACACAGAGACACACTTCAGACCTGCTATGCCTTCTTCATGGCTTACCAAGGTCAAATTTTCCTACTTTGATCAGCAGTGATAGCTGGCAGATGTTAAATTGAAGATCATCTTGGAGGAGGTTATTTTACCGATCCCTTCATTATTGCAGCTAAATCATTAAGAATAGCAACTAAATTCATTTACAAGATGATCAAAGCTAAATTGAGTATTTTCAGAGAATGATCAGAAATTGATTGGGAACAAGAGCTTTTGAATGTTCTGCAGTGCACCTCCTGCTGAATGTTGCCTTGGACTGGGATTGTATCCAGTGAGTTCAACGATGCAAAAATTACTCTTTCTCTACTTGTAAACTACTCAGAAATGGACAATAATGCTAACAATCCAGTACCATTAGATTTGTATCAAATCTAGCATGGAAATATCCTCAAGAAAAAGCACAAGTAGTTAATCCTAATTTAAAATGAAATTCAGTTTATAGTATATAAAGGATGTTTGGTTTCTTTGAAACTCTTAACAGCTTTATCAAGATACTTTTATCTGAGGAAGGAAGGAATGATCCCTAGCATGGAATCTGCCTTCTGCACACCTTCATTGTGCAATCCAATCTAACCCCAAGATCATTTTCCTGATTAGTTATAGCCAGCTCAAACAACATCAATATGCATTTGGGGTGGGGGTGACCAGTGTGCATTGTTTTACACTCACTTCAGTTGAATTGCATTGGCCATTTGGTTGATCATTCACTCAGTAAATTGACCTTCTGGGGCAGTTCACTGACACTTCAATGACAGTTGCAGTTTTTACCAACTTGAACAGTTTACTATAATCCACATACTTAGCCAGCTCACTGCTTACTCTACATCAAAAGCATTTGTACCAAGACAGTTAAAAAGCATGACTCCCACACAGTTCCTTGAGGGGCTCTACATTTTACTTCCCTCCACCAAGAAAATTTCTCATTTATTCCTAATCTTTGTTTTTGTTTTAAATTATTTAGCAATCCACAGTTCTTGTGTTACGGTCACTAAATTTACTCAAGAGCCTTTGATGAAGAAGTTTGTCAATGGCTTTTTGAAATTAATAACAATCCTATCCATTTGTTCCAGGCCTGAAATCCTATACCAAGAACAAGAGCATACCTTATTTGTTTCTTCTTTCTTTGTCTTTCCTCATTTTTCCTTTTTTCTGAAAGAGGCTCCAAGGCAGCTCTCGTAAAGCAGTGATAGAATTCTTCATAACTGGCCTATCAAGCAGGTAGTAAATCATTTGGAGAATACAACTTTTGTGTTCTTCAGTGTGTGAAAGCACCCAGTATTTAGAAGCATTCCGCGATTACGGTCTTATGAAACATAACATGTCATATATAAAGCAAAGTTCTTAGTGAAGTGTTCCTCAGCCTCTACTTTCAAAATGCTCAGCAAACATGGTCATTGAGAAGATGGGAGTTGTTATAGTCAAACAGATCTAAATAATTCCTGCTTGAGCAAAACCTTGGAGAGACACTGGAGGCTGCTGTATCTATGTCTGGACATTCTGGGGTTTAATTTATTATTAAAGAAATTATTTTGCTGCTAAAATGTTGGTGCAAGTGTTATTTCACATAAACTTGAAACAAATATCTCTGTTTTGCAGATCTCCTTCCTCATAATGGGTTCCTTCAGCAGAATTATTAGCTCTTCAAATTTTACCATATCAGCCATACATTGGCAGGATAACTCCACCAGACGTGGATTACCACAACCTCATGCCTACTATGCCCTCTTTTGCTGCATCTTGATCTTGGTCATTATTTTTGGGAATGTCCTAGTCTGCCTAGCAGTTCTGAGGGAACGGAATTTGCAAACTACTACCAACTACCTTGTGGTAAGCCTAGCAGTAGCAGACCTGCTGGTGGCCATTTTAGTGATGCCATGGGTGGTATATCTTGAGGTGAGTAGAGTCTGGGTTGCTGGTACATGGGCATCACTTTCTGAGTGATATACTCTCAACATTTACTTCAACCCATTTAAACTAAATAATAAACCCCATAGTCTAAATTGTTTCTTTTTCTTCAAATTCAGTAATTATGAAATTACCAAAGAAAAAAGAAAAAAAGAAAAAAGATTACTTGGAGGTCATATAGTTAGGGTTACATTCACCTATCAAAGAATCTTTGGGATATAACTTCACAATACATAAAACAGATAAGCTATGAGGAAATACATGACAGAGAAATAACAGTGAATATGCTGGGAAGTTATGTACTAATTATTCCATTATACTGTTAGAACTTCACATTCCAGCTCACTAAGTAGTAAGAACTCTAGAAGCACAAACTGTGGAAAGAACATTAAAGGCATGTTAGCAAGGGTTTGGAATGAGGTTACTGGAATGCTGTACTAATTTCTCAAATATATAATTTAGAATGCAGATTCAGACCATTATTACTCCAACTAGTATTATTTACCCACTGGATGTCTGGAGGGAGTTATACCTAATGATGTCTAGAGTTCCAGCTAAGTGCTCTAATATTCAGCCTGATCTTGTCGGTATCTCTCTCCAGTAGCTTCAGCTGTGTCTCAGAAAACACCCAGCAATCTGTACCTACTTAGCAAGTTCTATCTACAGTAGGTTTGCTTTGCAACTTTCACCCTATGGAGGTTGTTTGCCCTTACATTATTTTTGTTATTTTGCAATCTTTGGGTTCCCCCAGCCTTGACAGTAGTTCTTATCATGTGTGAATGGAGTAATGTTGACTACAATAGGATCTGACAAATTTTCTTTTAATATACAGGTTTCAGGATCTGTGTTCCTAACAGTGCAATTACACAAAGAAATGAATAATGTTTAATTTCTGATGTTGTACATTGGTAGAAGGCATAGAGACCTGTCAGCAAAAAGCTTTCTCCCCTGGCTTTATATTATCTCTGTAGGAAAGTCCATGCCCTGGTTGAACTCTTTAGCTAAAAGTGAGAAGGCATTTAAGTCTTGCTGTGTTGAATTAATACCTTCCTTCTGTTCCAAATATGATTGCTACAATTTTAAGGAATATCTATATAAGAAACTGCCACAACTGAATATTGGGATTCTTAAGTTCCATTTACTTCAATGACTTTAAAATAACAAGCTGTGCTTAGGTGGCAAACTGCAAAAACCTTACTGTATGAGCTGGCAGCATATAAATTCAATAAATCAATCATCGGCACTTTTAATTTCTTCATCAGCCATTCCCTACTTGATGCTTTCCATATATGTTGGGTCCACTAATTAAAAATTCTGGGATTTGAGCTCCCAACATAGCTGGAGAGTTGGGGAAGATAATTGGCAATTAAACTGTGCAAAAAACCTTCTCAGAAAAAAGAGAATTATATGCAAAAAAAATGGAAGCAAAATGTGGATCTCTATTTGGGCTCAGAAGAGCAAATAATTTGTAGCAACTTTCCCAAGTTGTAGAGGTGCCATATTTTTGGAATTTGGTTAACCTCAATCCTAGTCACTGTGGCCCTTAAAAATTCTGGGAGTAAAGGACATCCGGGTACCACTGCTCTTTACAAGGAGACATCAGGGCAGCATTCTACTCTGGGTTTGAGTGCTGAAGACAATGAGATTAGCAATTTTATTTGCAACTGCAGCAAAGATTTTTAAAGGTCACTAAGTTAGCAAACCTCACTTTCTAATCACTTTTGGAAATTGCTCATTAACTACTTCTAAGCTATTAGACACCTGAACAACAAGTTTGAAAATGCTGGGGTAATCTGCCTTCAATCCTGAATGAAAAGAAATTTTAATCATAAGCTTAAGAATCTGAAATAAACAGCAAAAAGCTAAATAAGATTTTAATCTTAGAAAGTTGTAAATGGACTAAGGGTCCAGATATATTTGGAATCTTTTACAATAAGATTTTGGAATTAATTATAAAGAACAAGCAGCTTCTCATGGGAAATAGATCTGTTTTGTTTTTTACAAGACATAACGAAAATAATTTCATGATTTCAAAAACTGGACATTAGAGGAGACTAAAGACTTTAGCTAGAGGAAAGATTTACGAGCCTATAAGATGATGCAAAACATTATAACAATAAAAATACTGAAGGAGACTTTTGAAGAATGGAATCAAAAAATAGTAGTCACAATATTAACAATGTCAGTAATGATGTCTGCTTCTATGGATAGACTATGTCAAAAGATGTTATTGAAGAAATAACAGATGTAGAACAAATTTTGTCTGACAAGCTAGATGTTATTGAAAGTAATTTACCACTGACAGGCCAAGAGAATGACTTGGAAAAGGATGTTTCACTGGATCTACAAAAGAAACTGACTGAGGTTTTAAAATGTAAAAAGGAAATACAAATGATAAACCAAGAGAGTGACCTGGATATTTTTTTTTCTTATTGGATTTACAAAAGAGGCTTTCTAAAGCCTTGAAGAACTCTGGGGACAAAGAAGAAATGAAGAGAAATCAAATCCTACAACAATATTTGAATGAACTAAAGATTAAGACTGTTAGAAGTAAAAGGAAGGAATATAAAGTTGGTTTATCTGATCAAGGTTAAAACAAGATACATTGTCATTTCTGGCAATCCTTTATGGACTTTCTGCTGACACCAGGACTGAATATATGAAGCCTTATGAATTTGTTTATAGATAAGAGATGGGATATGGGATAAAGAAATAAATGTTTGTAGCCTTAGAGGGGGTGAAGAGTCACTAAATTTGTTTATACTTGTTGTGATGAAGATTGGAAGTCATTTCTTTATATATTTTTTCTCTTTCTTTATTATATTCTTACTTTTTCTCCTGTCTTTTTTTCTTTTTCCTTGCACATTTTCCTTCTTTTTTCTATTCCTTTTTTCTTTCTTTAAGTTTAGTTTGTATTAGATTTTACTATCATAATAAAAATTCTTAATAAAAATTATATATATAAAAATTCTGTGAGTTGATATATATGGAGGGCATCAGACCAGAACATCTATGTTGTAGTAAGGGTTGTGTCATACTTTTTTCACTGAAGGAGTAATTAAAAGATAACTTAAAGGCTTATATTACTGTTAAGCAACCTAATAGAAATGCTGCTGGTTAATATCATGTCACAGTAGCTCAAAATAAAAAATGGAAATAGTATAATGCAAATCCAATTAGGCTCACACAATGAAATGTGTACCAATATACTAAACTGTTCTGAAAAAGAAATTATCTCTGCGGAATCACTGAAAAGCCAAAAAGTGGATTGACAGAGGAGAAGAGAAAAGAATTTTGTCAATATAAGTGGGGATATTAACAGAGAATAAGATCTGATTTAAAGCCAGTAATCTATTGTACCCTAGAACACCTTTCATCTCAAGAATTCAAATCGCTGCATTAATGACTGCATCAGGTCCTTTCTACTTACCTCTGATGGAGGGAGGAGTGTTAGATTGTTGATATTTGGTAAGAGAAGATTAGGCTTCAACTAGTCTCTTGCTCAGTGGAAGTAACTGAAATTAAAAAAAGAATTAGAACTTGGAAAGAATCAGCAAGATATGCTCAGTAGAAGTATTTAGAAGAGCTTGCATTAGCAATGTCTGCTAATGTTTTATGCAAGATACTTTAATTAATAAAGGATAAAAGTGACTTTACTTTTTTATTTAAGATACATTTAACTAGAAGACCTGTGGCTGAACTTACTCATTACTACATTTTCTAATAGGATACTAGTAGGGCATCAAAGAAATGAATGCAAAGTTGTCAGAGAATTCTATAACCCTATTCCCAAACCAAAATCTTTGGAACATTTTATGTCGATGGACTGTGAACATTAGAAACACTGGCCTTTCTATGGATACAGGTTTGGAAACAGATGAGCCAAAAAGAGGACATGGCATATACAAGCCATACACCAGTGAACCATGGGAGCAGCAGAAGGCAGTTTACAGGATGCTGCATCTGAAAGTAAATATTGCCTGCAAGTGTTCTAGGAAGTGATCCTCACAGAAATCCTCATACTAAAAAGGAATTAGGTTGTTTTGTAATGCTAATGTTGGTTGTTTTACAGTCCCAACAGAACAGGAAGAGGGTTTTTTAAAAATGACACAAAATACTTCAATTCATTCATTCATTCATTCATTCATTCATTCATTCATTCATTTTCAACTTTATATATGCCACCCATCTTACTGTACAGGTGACTCTAGGTGGCGTTACAAGTAAAAAACTATTTTCCAACATAAGGCTATAGAACAAAATTCTGGATGCAAGTTAATTTGATCAGTTTGATCATTAATGTTTTATGTAGTCCATAAAACCTTGATGAAAATGTCTTCAGCTTATTGTCAAGGGGTTTTCTCCAGATTGTACATCTTCAGTCCATCAGATAGTATATTCTGCAAAGAGTCCAAGAAGTAGTACCCATGAAGTGGATGTCTTTGGATGATAGTACATAAAGATGGAGAGTACTTCTCCAGAGAACATCTAAAATAGTTGCTTAAATGGCAAACCACATAGGATATGTCTTACCTTGATATCAGCACCAGTAACCCTCATATAATGTCAGATTAATTTAACACTAATTTATGGGATATAAAAGGCAGTTGTCAGGGATTTGGGATTTGACTGCCAGTATAAAATGATATGTTTTGTGTTAGCAATCTGGAGAATGTTCATTCTCCTCTGAATCTAATCAGATTCATTAATTAGAACAGCAAATGTGGGATTCATGACACTATAAACAGATGCTGAATGAATCACTGTTTTAAGTAATAGTATTTTTTAAAAAATATAATCATAACCTTTCTGTAATTTATGTGTTGGAATAAAATAACATCATCCATTGATATGGAAAACCTCATACTTGAAAGATGACAAAAAATTGGCTAAGCTAATATTCCAATGAATTAAGTGTTCAGAACTTTTAATCAAATTAATATCTGTGTTAACTGTGCTATAAATTAATCGAATGTGGATTCTGACTT